TCACCTCTATTTTGCCATTGTGTCGTACTCCAGGAAAGTTACATCAATTGTTATCAAAGAGACTGTGAAATACCTAACTTTCTGTATATTGATTGAATTGGCACGACATGTTCTCCATGCACATTCACTATAGTAAATTGTCCTACGCATTTCAGAGCAGCACCTTTCAAGGATTTCGAAATATTGAAGATCGCCCTCCCACCGCTCAACGGTGAATTTTCGTAAAGAGGTAAATAGATTTTATGCACGACCGGGCGTAAAGTAGCACTTTACCGCCCGGGTTTGGGGGCATAAAGTGGCACTTTACCACCCGGAGACTACATTACCGCCCGGCGGGCGATAAAGTCATTGAGCTGGTGGTAAAGCTAATGTCACTGTCATATCGCACCAGCTTACGAATTCTTCGTATACTTTGTCGTATATTTTTTTTGATTTACTTGGCAATAAACTCGATTTTGCTTCCTCAGCTGCCTCACTAATTTCTGGTGGAGTACAATTCACACTTTCTTCATCACTAGAATTCATTTTGAAATCACTAATGAATTATGTATGATTACACAAATTGACAGTTAATATGGCTACTGGCCTATTAATTCCTATTTCGAAAAATTGACTGAGTTGCCATGGTAACGTTGATTCCATACTTCTTGATTAATTGTATTTGCGATATGGATATACAATACAGTCTCACTGCAACCGTGATGTATTTTTATTGTGCTTAAGGGGTGAAGAGATACCTACATGAGATATCAAATATATACAGGTCGTGCATAAAATGTTGTATGTATTTCGGGCGTAACTAGCTTTTATGGACCTAGGCGTGTTAATAGCCCTCGCTCGGTCTATTACTTACACGCTGCGGTCCATAAAAGCCTATTGTGCGCCCTTGATACCTAAATAACTATTAATCGACCTATTTGAGTCTCTAGTTCATCCTGTAGGATTTCCGGTCGTTTTTCTGGGACCCCTTGTATAACGAGTATGCTCTCCTCGAGCTTGTATTGCAAAATTCAACGGTCGTGACATTGGGTTGATCGAATTTGTCAAGCAGTCTTCAGAAAATGCTTCACATTCTCTTCGAAGGGCGAATCGTAACTCTGACAAAGCTGGGAGAAGGCAGGAATGAACCTCTGGAGTTCATCCCAAAGATGTTAAATTGTTGTTAATAAAAAATGAAGAATTCCATACCCTCTGGAAACCCTTGTATCATCTTTCAAAAAGAAGATATGGACGTGAATAAAGAACAATTGTGTTGAGAAGGGACGAAAAGGAATCTCACTTCAATCCAAAATATTACAGTTGCAACTGTAAATTAGGCGATATTTAGAAAAAAAAAAGTTTCTTCTGCCTAATTTACAGTTGCAACTGTAAATTAGGCAAATATTCGTGAGAAAAAAAGTTTTTTAAGGATGGCAGTTCAGACGCGTCGTAAAAATATGATGAATCAAAAGAATAGTTCTGTATAATTGTTGATGAAAATTAAAAGATTCCATACTCTCTTAAAGCACTTGTATATTCTCTTAAAAAGAAGATATTGACGTGAATAAAAAATCGTTGTGTTAAGAAGTGATCACACTTCAACCCAAAACATGATGAAACTATGTTTAACCACTCTCCTCTCCAATATTTTTATTATTATTATCATTATATTGTTCTTCTTTCTATAATCATCAAATCATCAACTATTTTTTGAGAATTCTACTATTTGTTCGAAATTTCACGAAAATCGGACGAGAATCAAAAAACTTACATGGCGATCAATTGGGCCACATTTTTTGTTGGCCGGTGTTTTTGCCGGTCAGTGTATAGTGATCCAGGAAAACGAATATGAGAAAAAGTTGAAAATGATCAATATCCGTGAGTTCTGTATGTCACTATCATATCTAACACCCCTCGTATTTCCTGAAATTACCGCAGCAATATGTCAAATCACGAAATTCATGCAGGGGAATTAGTGATTGTATACTGTTTGAAAAACCAAATTACTGTATAATATTATTTCACTGGAATAATTTTATTCTAAAGAATTTTTAATAATTCTACTTGGAATACCTAAGAACATGAAAAACCTACCATTATAAAATTTATGTGCGCGTTGATAGGTATATATGAAGTTTACTTTAGTGATAGTTGTGATTTTGAAGGGGTATCTCGAGAGGAAATCACTCAGAGTCAGAGATAGGTATAGAAAATGCTTAAGTAAATCAGCCTCAGACTCAATTTTCAAATTTTCGAATAATATACAGTATGGTTGAAAAGTTATAAGACAATAAAGATATGGGCAAAACTGATAAAAAAAAACGTATCTTGGTTTTAAGATGAACCCATTTGATTATCCATTGGGTTTTTGAAATCACCTTGGTGACCCCTATTCACAATCAAAATATTTACCTTTCCCAATGAAACACTCTGTATATATAATGAGAAAGTCGATGCCGACTTTCGGCATATGCTCTGTATAGCTGGAGGACTAGAAATATTTTAGGCAGATTGGAAATTATTGATTATAATAGCATACCAATTTTCAATATTTTAATCCAACTGCAAAAAATTGAAAAACTTCTAATGTGTGGCCTACGTAAATCACCCTGTATATACGTCACTCAGGCCAATCAATTTGTGATTCTTGACGGAGAAAATTTCATCAGTTTTGAAACTTGGGGTACTTATACAGTATGTCTCACCCTAGTATTTTTCTATTTGTTGGTCAATTTCAAATTATATTTCCCGAAATGACATTGGAAGTGTCTCTTTAATGGCATTTGACAGGCATAAAAAGGGTACTTAACTGTCTAGGCAGAAAATGTTTGTTGCCATACAACGTTGCAAGTACTAATTTGAACCAAATTGGAAATCAGAATTGATGATAATGAGATTGGGTGAACACGAAATGATGGATTATTTTGAATTTGAGTGAAATTGGAACGAATTCGGAGAACAAATTTTATGTTACACATGGCAAAAAAAGAGATTCATTGCCTTGGCAGGAACGTCAGCCGCAGCTTCTAATACTGTGCTTTTCTGCCTAGTAAAACGAATAACTTTATTGGCTCAACATGTAGTATCTACTACTCTTTACAGGGTGATTCAAAAGTAATCCGACAAACTTCTGGAGGTTATTCCTCAAAATATTCTTATATCAATTGTGTAAGTAAGTTTAATATGAACTATGCAGCGCCGGCCCGAACAGTTCTGACGCCCTAGGCAGAATACTGAAACGGGGCCCTTTCAAGAAAATTCGTTCGAAAATAAATAATAACGTAAACGATTGTTTGATTTTCAATGATAAAAATTGGGGTTTTTCATTTTACCAGATTTTTTTGGGATTTTCTCTGCTCGTTTCTATGAATAAAAATCGAGACAAAAATATGAGTATTATTATTATTATGGGTACCTGTATAGTAAGGACAATTCAGATGTTTGCCCCACAATGTCACCGCGTATACATTTTCTTCCTAAATAGTGAGCCTAAACGAAAAATACAATCAATTATTGTCAGTGACACCTGGTTCTGAAAAATATTTGAATAAAGATAAAGACTAAAATGTGAAAATTTACAGTTGCAACTGCAAATTAGGCAAACATTCGTGAACAAATAGTAGATTGTTTTATTAGGATCAAAAGTGACACTTTTTTTGACAAGCGAATTTTGCATTTGCGAGGCGGAGCGTTTAGCGAAGCCGAGCGATAGCAAAATTTGCGAGTCGAACAAAGTCACTTTTGATCCGAATAAAACATGCAATTTTTTCTGCAACCGAAACTATTAACTCAAATAAACATGTGAAGTAACCACCAATGCCGTGCCATATGTACCTATGCAATGCAACAAATATTGACAAATAATCCATGTGGTGAGAATATTCTACCTGCATTAACAGCAGGTTAGGTTTTCTAGGATGTTCGAATTGTAGTTTCAATATAAATACAACCACAGAGTGACATATTATTTGTGTATGAACCAGGTGCTCTAATGGCAAATACCGCGCCAGTGCCAGCTATAGGAACAAGACGTGGAAAATGTTAGGTTAGTGAGCATATCAACAATGATAATAGTGATTATTTATTCCTTTCCATACTACACTGTGTTTGACTTGCGATTATCAAATGAAGCTAAACAATATCGTTGTTTGAGACATAAAAACTATTGCTTGCCGTGATTATTCAAAAACACGTTATCCATCCCGAGAATAACGAATGAAATACAGATCAAGCAAGATTTGAATCTTGAAGGCTTCCCTGATCAAAACAAAAATACTTAACTGAGATGTTTATAATTCCAATACTAAACTATAATAAGGTGTATTTATATCTCTAGCATGGGTATAAAATGACAAATCTGCTGAAATCGGAAACAAATCAGGTATACGTCTCAACCAAAATAACCAACCATCACAATGTTGTTTATTCTTGAGGACGTCCAGTAGATCGTTTTTAGTTCCTAGGAGCTAAAGTTCAACTTTAGCTCCTAGGAACTAAAATTCAACTTTAGCTCCTAGGAACTAAATGTGTTGCCTAGCAACATACCTATTTTTGTGTCAGTAATAGAAACGTCAATTTAAGAGCTAATTTTGGTATCAAAATGGACGACTTTTGTGTCGGTTGTAGAAAAAAAGTATTTTTTGGAATGACAGTTCAGAAACGTCGTAAACTGTTGAGTGATCGAATACCCATCATGCAGAATTAAGATTAACGAATTTTACTTATTTCTGGGTATCAAAAATTTAATCTTTTCTGTCTACTTTCATATCCTTTATTTCGTCTGAATCCGTAATGTAGGAATCATGATATAATGAGAACTTAAATACCTTGATGATTTTTATGCGTTCCGACAAATGTCTTTACTATCTATATGGAAATTACCGTGTCTAGTAATTTACATCTTTTCCAACATATTTCCTCAGTCAGTCAACAACTAGGTATCGTGTATTATCTGTCGATAAGCACACGAGCAGAATCGTTAACAATTTCAAAAGTTGAAATTTAACAAGGCCTGTGATGTTATTGTAATTATATTATTTTGGAGATATAGGTGTATAGGTAACTGAAGAAACATGGACTCGAACAAAAAACATATCAATCCTTCCCCAGAATCGAAATCAGGAGCTTTCTCAAAACTTTTTTTCTGGTAAGTACAAAAAACTGGATTTTAAATTACAAACATAGTTTCCAAATAATCTTCGGGAGTTTTATTGTGGAGAAAAAAATACGAGGTAGCTCACGAGGTTTTGGTCATTCGGTATTTGGACTATACGAATTCGAATTTTGCAATTTTATATTATAAATGGTTTCATTGCTATTTTACAACATTCAAACAGTAATTACCTAAAATTGTGTAAGAAATACTGATGGATTAGATTTTTCAAAACCTCAATAGATGTGAGTACAGAGTATGTCTCTCAAAATAATGGAACTCCCTATTAACTTTCTTGATTTCGAGAATATGGGAAAATGGTGAATACGAACGTTGAATCGAATAACTTGATTTCAAGATATTTCTTGGTATACAGGGTATTTCGTTCTCTAGAAGCAAACATCAACTTTTGTATTTCAAATTAAACACCATGTATTCTTCTCGACCGTTCGATGAGCTGTTTTTTCTGATACCATTGATTTGGATCGAAAATTATTGAGTTATTGATGATTGAAGTTGACCAAAATTCTCATATCACATAGTGTGAGTTGAACTCAGTACTCAATAGGCTTTGAAAAGATGTCGGTCCAGAAATTTACATAGTATTGCATTGAAAAACAAAGGTGATGATATCAACGAAGTTTCTCATCCAGATTTGATATTTACGATTTTCCTGTTATCTTCAAAAATGAAAAAGTTGAGGGAAGTTCAATTTTGAGAGATGCACCCTGACATCAGTAAAAGAAAAATAAAACAAGATAATCGTATATAAACATTAATTATTCCTTTATTGATATTTTAGACACTATACTAAAAACTTGTACTTACTTGATAGATGCACATTATTAGGGAAAAGATTGATTCAAACATGAGGATCATGAATTACTTATTATTATGTACAAAAAATTATTAGAGCAATAAATATTCAGCCTTTTTGGTATACCCCTGAACGAATTTGGAATTATTCTCATTTCATTGTATTGAGCATTGTCTGCTAAATATGGAGAAAAAATCTAGTGAGCTAAATGATATTGAGCATTGATTCTTGTACAAAATTAAATTTTTTCATCACGAATAGTGTCAGGCATTTTCCGACCATGTTCATTGATTTTTTTAATTATGATATACCTATATCATAATATATGTTTAACTATATGATTGTGTGTTTGACTCATGGTATTCACCTTCTACTTAATACATTTTTCGAAATACTATTTCAACAATCCACACACCGAATGAACTTATGAATCGTCATCTTTATACCAATGCTTTTTCGCATCATTTCTCGATTCAAATGTATGAAACACTCAGTACATTATTATACCATCAAGAAATCTACTCACTATCTTTTTTAATACATTTCAACCCATATACGAAATAAGTGGAGTCAGCTAATGTTTGTGAAGGTATATGTTGTCTTCTACATGAAAACAGAGAAATCTGAAACACCCTGTACATAATTTTCAGTTGGGTTCTTCCGTTTTTCAAATATGGTTACAAGAGAGATTTAGAGACTACAGACATATACAATGCTACAAAAAATGATTTGTCAGCACCCCTAGGAGATGAGCTTGAGAAGTAAGGTTATTTCGTTCTTGAAACTTTTCTTGATTATGGATAAAACAAGAATATTTCTGAATAATTGTTGTATTTCAGGTATTGGAAGAGAGAGTTAGAGCGGTCAGCAATAAAGAAGAGAAAACCCAGTTTGAAAAGAGCCATATTTTTCACATTCTGGAAATCTTACATTCCTTTTGGAATTTATTTATTTTTTCAAGTAGTTATATTAAGGTTCGTTTTAGGAATAATAAACTCATGGAAAAATTGAGGGACATGAGAAAATCAGACACAAATATTCGTTTTGCACCTAGATTTGTTTTCGCCCTGTTGTTTTGCTTATCGTACCAGACCGTTTGAGTGAATTGAAAGGAATTTTGCAGTACCTTAACGGCCAAAGGGTCGACAAAGGGTCATGTTTGTCTCCATCTAATTCCAAAAACGTTTTGTCTTTGAGCTGCCATCATCAACTTTGTTTTTCAAAATACGACACTGTACTTTTTATTATGGATTTTAAGAGCTTTCAATTTCTTGGAATCAACGGTTTAATGCACTTATAGTCGAAAAAGGTGTTTGTTTTTATCCATATTGAAAATCTATTCTGTCTCTCTTTAACACATAGGTTATTTTGGAAAATGCTATCGATATGAATTTTTTTAATGAGTGCGATACACTGTTGCTCTCTTCCTAAGGCCTAAAGCAAAGCAATCAAAATCCATAATAAAAAATCTAGGGCCGTATTTGAAAAACCAAAGATAAAACGTCGGTTTGAAAATCTGATAACACCATCTTGTGGAACAGAAAAAATAGCGATGAGAATGTGGAATTTGTTTTGTTACATATATTCAAATAGAGTCATAACAAATATTCGATTTTTTCCAAAAATCTTTGGAAGTATTCGGAATTTCTCAAATTTTGAAACGACATTTTGTTTGGCATAAAATTGCACAAATAAATAAATAGATAAATAAATATCATTCAACAAGCATATGATAATAGCTCATTATATTCGAGTAAAATACTATACTTTGTCCACTACTACTATTGTCTTCGATATTTGAATACATTTTTAACAACTGTTTTATAATAACTTATTTTGTCCATGACTAATGTATTTCCTCGAGCAAAATGATAGGCACTTTTCACACCATTGAATAATAGCGGTGTTTTTGTAAAGGAATGAATCATCAAAATACAAATTGAATATTGAATGGTCTGTCAATGTTTTATGCAAACAACCCTAAAAGTCTCACCTCTCAATCCCCCTTGATTTTTTCCATGAGAATATTCTCGGGCAACATACTAGAAATTATTTTCAGGAATTTACAACCAGTAGTACTCTCTGAATACATTGATTATTTCGAATATAGTCAGGACCAGTACCATTTAGGTAATTGGGAATTAACTAGATCGCAATATGGCTGGTTGATTGCAGTTTGTGTTATCATTCTACCTTTTTTTAACATGATCATTGTACACCATTGCCAAATTGGATGCCAGAGAGTAGGAATGAGGATACGGATTGCTTGCTGTTCTTTAGTTTACAGAAAAGTAAGTAGGAACTTCGAATTCATAAATGACAATAATCATTATGCTAAATCTTGCATGTACAGTTTCCAATACTTTTTTCACAATCTGTATCTTCGGAAGGGGTTCATCGGGATCGAATGTGGTTTTTTCGAATTTTGACATGCAATTCACTTTCCAAAACTGACGAAAGCTTCCAAAGGTCTTACTTTACGTAATCAGTTGCGTAAAATTGAATATTACATAACTGGTGATGAAATTTTCATTTCGACACTAGTTACGAAATAAAAATATGGATGGACGAAGAGAATAGTGCGTTTTGTGCTGCTTCCTCAATATCACTTGGGAAATCTGAACTAGAATCAGCCATTTTCCACTAATGAAAATATCAAACGACCAGGCGAAGTCATTCTGCCTGCTAAATTTTCATATTTTTTCATTTAAATCTTGGACCGGAGGGAAATTCTGAAGATTTTCCGAGATTAAATCAATAATGTGACAAAATGGGCCAGGCTTTCCTTTAAAGGCCACTTTCAAAACGTTTTTCTTGTTGATTTCCCCTTATTATTGTAGCTGTCTCTGAACATTCCAGATAATTCAGGAATATTGGTTAATACTCCATAATGTTTGACCCAGGCAACCATCAGATGACGTTTCAGTGACGTCTATTTATGTCAGTTGATTGACCAAGGTGTCACAGCCCAAGGACGTCATTTTACTCACCTTTGTTGACGTCAGACACTCACCAAACGGTGACGTTGGACTAACGTCAAGATGATGGCAAAATGTGTTTCGAATTTGGTGATGAAACGAAAAAAGTTTCCTCAAACAAGGTGTGATGATACACCACTGACCTCTGATGACATCTTATAACGATTATGCATTGTTTTAAATAGTATTTCCATTTATTCTTTTGTCATAGCAATTTTTAGAAATTCTCTGAGGCATTCGAAATCCACCAAATTGGTAAGTACGTCACACCGAAGTGATTTATAGACGTCATAGATACGTCATTGCAACGTCATCAATGTGGTGTTTTCAATAAACCTATTATCATTTGTATATATATAGTATCCATTGCCAGAACGTCCCTGTAACGTCATGAAACTGACGTCTCATTTTACCCATCCAAGTGACGTTTATTCAGCGTGATGCGTGGGCAAGCACTGTTGCCAATTCAAAAATATTTAACTAAAAACAGGAAATACAATCAAAATCCATGTATTTTGGTGTTCTTTCAATGAGAAAGTATTGATAATATTAGTTTAAGAAAAATCTCCGAGGAGGCTCAGCCTCCGTTGCCTCCTCTGAGGAGCCGCCACTGAATATCATATCTTCCAGAATGTTCAGAATTCTCCAGAATTTGATTGAATCTACAAAATTTCAGATTCTGAGGCTGAGCCAGTTATCTCTAGGTGAGACAGCTGCTGGTCAGGTGGTTAACTTGATGTCAAATGATGTTCAACGATTCGATCTGGCTTCTGTCGACTTCCACTACTTGTGGATAATGCCAATATTGTTCGTCACTTCTTTTTATCTCATGATCGACAGAGTTGGATTGGCCGCTGTCGCTGGCATGATAGCGATGACCATAGAAGCACTACCATTCCAAGGTGAGTCACTCTATACTTCACATTCAAATCTCCTTGGGTTTTTCGCACCTTATCCAGTTGTATTTCAGGAAGCATCAATTGTATTTTGCAGAATACTCCATTGAATTTCCGAAAGCGACAATTGAATTTTAGAATAGTCACTTGTATTTCAGAAAGAATCAATTGTATTTCGCAGAATACGCCATTGAATTTCTGAAAGCGTCAGTTGAATTTTAGAATAGTCACTTGTATTTCAGAATAGTCACTTGTATTTCAGGAAGCATCAATTGCATTTTGCAGAATACTCCATTGAATTTCCGAAAGCGTCAATTGCATTTTAGAATAGTCACTTGCATTTCAGAAACCGTCGATTGTATTTCAGAATAGTCACTTGTATTTCAGGAAGCATCAATTGTATTTCGCAGAATACACCATTGAATTTCTGAAAGCGTCAATTGAATTTTAGAATAGTCACTTGTATTTCAGAATAGTCACTTGTATTTCAGGAAGCATCAATTGTATTTCGCAGAAAACTCCATTGAGTTTCTGAAAGCGTCAATTGAATTTTAAAATAGTCAGTTGTATTTCAGAAATCGTCAACTGTATTTCAGAATAGTCACTTGTATTTCAGGAAGCATCAATTGTATTTTGCAGAATACTCCATTGAATTTCCGAAAGCGTCAATTGAATTTTAGAATAATCACTTGTATTTCAGAATAGTCACTTGTATTTCAGGAAGCATCAATTGTATTTCGCAGAAAATTCCATTGAGTTTCTGAAAGAGTCAATTGAAGTTTAAAATAGTCACTTTGTATTTCAGAAAGCTTCAATTGTATTTCAGAATAGTCACTTGTATTTCAGGAAGCATCAATTGTATTTCGCAGAATGCTCCATTGAATTTCTGAAAGTGTCAATTGAATTTAAGAATAGTCACTTGTATTTCAGAAAGCGTTAATTGTATTTCAGAATAGCCAATTCAATTTCAGAAAGCGTCAATGCATGGAATTTCAGAATAGTCAATTGAATTTCAGAAAGTGTCAATTGACCCTATCTGAAATACAAGTGACTATTCTTGAATAAAACTGACGCTTCATGAAATTGAATCGACTCTTTTCGAGATACAACTGGAGAACGGAGAAGGTGTAGAGAATGCGAATTCTCAATGTATTTCTTTATATATATACAGGGTGGCCCACGGTCGAGCCTGAAAATTTGGTAACTCTAATATGCGTTTGTGATCTAACGATTCAAAATATTTTCAGCGATGCAGCGTTACCAAAAAGTAGCATCATTTATTTCAAATGGTACACCCTGTATTTCATTGCGTTTTTAGATTCTTCTTGAAGAGCTGATTTCATCAATGCATCACACTTGGGGTCTAGCAGGAATTATTACAGAGATATAGGGTGTTCAAAATCGGGATTTTTCAATTTCAGGAAACTATTCATTATCGATCAAAACGGCTTACATGTCCCTATCTTAACTTTGATTCACTATCTACTGACATTTAATTGGAACAGATACAGGGTGATCAAAATTCTGAATCTCCTGTATTTTTTCCAATTAAATGTCGGTAGATAGTTGATCAAAAGTTAATATAGGGACATGTAAGCCGTTTTGACCAATGATGAATAGTTTCGACACAAAAAAATCCTAAAGTTGAAAAATCTCGATTTTGAACATTCCTGCTAGACCCCAAGTGTGAGAAGAATCTAAAAACGCAATAAAATACAAGGTGTTCCATTTGAAATAACAAAGATGATGTTACTTTTTGGTAAAAGTGGCAACGCTGCTTCCCTGAAAATGTTTTGAATCGTTAAATCACAAACGCTCATTAGAATAACCAAATTTTCAGGATAATCCAATGCACCGTTTTCCGTATACGTCTAGGGTACCATCGACCGTGGGCCACCCTGTATATATATCCATTTTTTTATGTTCATATTTATATCTAAGAATACTCCTTTTCAAAATTAACAATCCAGTTCGACTTTTCACAAAATTCCATATCCCAAAGAGAAGATTTGTGTGGTGAAAGAATGGCCGTACACTATAGAAACTTTACAAAGGAACTGAAAAATATTTCCTGATGTTGTGAAGTTACACTTCACAACCTTCATGATCTGTCCATGAATAGTAGTAGTATATGTACTTTGTCGATATGTATTTACATACCAACTGACCATCGACCTCACGAGAGGCCCATTTGTGTTCTGTGTAGGCTTTGCTACTAGCTCCATGTGCCACCTTAGGTGCAGCACTGATAATTGGAACGCAACAGAGCAACAACCTCCGGCTGAGGCTACGAAAATTAGAATGTGTAAATCTTTTTGTAAATAAAAATTCTCTACTGTGTCTGGGATTCGAACTAGCAACCTTTCGATGTTCTGATTACTACATAGTCAACCACTGCGCTATTTTGCTTTTCAAGATTTCCCAATTTTATTTCATTTGCTTATTCATTATTATCAAAAATAATTGTACCTTTGAAAGATAACATGATATCGTACAATGTAGGTACAACATTTCATTATTTCCGAATTCTATGACCCACTTAATATTTAATTAATAATTAATGCTGATCAACACAAAATCTAATTAAGTTGTAGTGTTGTCAGACTGTTCTTATCGATAAATAAAAACTGTATTATTTATTCTCATTGGTTGAATTTGATTTCACGTTCATGCCATAAGGCTTGTACAACTCACCATATCTTTGTTTCTGTTGAATGTTGTTATCTATTAGATATAGACATATGCACAAAAATAGGTCAAAAAACTACCGAAAAATAATAAAAACCTACTTAAAACAATTGGAAACCTTTGTGATTTTCGTATTTTAGGTTATTTATCCAGGATCCAAGGCAAGTTGCGGGGAAAAATAGCTCAGAAAACTGACTTCAGGGTTAAATTGATGAGCGAAATAGTATCTGGAATCCAAGTCATCAAAATGTACGCTTGGGAGAAGCCATTCGACAAAATGGTCGAACTATCACGCAAGTAAGTGGTAATAGGTGTCAACTCTGGCAAAATTCGAAAACTTATCTCTGTTTCAGGCTCGAAATAAAGTATATAACCAAAGCAGCATATATCAAGGGACTTTCCATAGCACTAGTGGTCTACACAGAACGGCTAACTTTATATCTTACTCTAATAGCCTACGTTTTCCTAGGTCACAGGCTCACTAGTGATATCGTGTTCTGCATGGCTCAATACTTCAACATTGTCCAGCTCTACATGTGTTTTTACTTCCCGAATGGCCTTGCCACATACGCTGAGGCTAGAGTAACCATCAAGAGACTGGAAGAGTTCTTGTTGCTGGAAGAGAACACAGAACTCATTGCTAATAGTGACTTGATCATTGATGATGAAAAAAGGGGCACGATCAAAATCGAAGAAGTCAGTGCTAGCTGGGTACTCAATTCGACTAGCAACACACTCAATGATATCAATTTGAATATAGGTGCTGGTAAACTTTGCTGCGTAGTTGGAAACGTAGGATCTGGAAAAAGTTCCATGCTGCAGTTGTTGCTTAGAGAATTGCCTCTGAAATCTGGACACCTGGAAGTGAATGGACATGTATCGTTCGCTTCTCAAGAACCATGGTTGTTCGTTTCCAGTGTCAAGGAGAATATTCTCTTCGGACAGCCTTATCTGAAAAACAGGTAGGAAGGAATATACCGTCACTATTGCTAATGAGTTGTCACTTTTATTGATAAATTCCTTCATTGTTAGATGGATCATTCATTGTTGAAAAATAAAACTTATTACTGAGAGCTGGGAATCGAATTAAAAAACGAAAAAGTTATGTCAATTGTTTCCTCAAAACGATATTCCAAAATTATAGTAATGAGAAGGAAAAAGGTACCTACACATGCTGGTGAATTCAAGCATATACACAGAAAATTCTGTAAGAAATCGACGGGGTCCAATCAGGACGAGGGGTGTTACCTCAAAGCAATTTGAATAATAGTATTGCAGCTCATGGTATTTCCCCCAACAATTCAAAATTCAACAATAAAATTTTGTAGAGTTAATGGGGAAGATCATCACCTTCGAAAACCTGGTTCAACAAAAACTGTTCTAGAACTGTTGCCTTGAAACAAACAGCCTACCATCGCTGGCGCTAAAACCCTAACCTCGCGACTAGAGCAGAATACGTTGATGCCAGGAATAACTGCAGCCAAACAATAATAATAATAATAAGGCTAACGGTCCTGATGGAATTCCACCCATTATCCTAAAAAAATGTGCACCGATTCTCTGCAGGTCGGGTATTGTCCCATCATGCTGAAAGACAGCTAGAGTCCAACCAATCCCCAAAAAAAGGAACAAGAACCTGCCCAACAACTACAGGCCCATTGCCCTGTTATCAGTAATCTCCAAAGTGATGGAGAAAGCCATCAATATTGAGCTTATCAAATATTTGGAGAGCTCAGGAATCATCAATGATAGACAATACGGCTTTCGCCACCGAAGATCTACTGGAGATCTACTTGCCTACGTCACCCATTTATGGCAAGCTTCATTAGAAAAACACGGGGAATCTCTAGCTGTCGCGTTGGACATATCGAAAGCATTTGACCGTGTTTGGCACGAAGGACTCCTCCACAACCTACCATCATACGGCTTACCACCTCAGCTATGCCATCTCTTATCGAGTTTTCTTTCAGGCAGATCGCTTCATGTGGTGGTGGACGGTGTATCGTCTGATACGATTGGCATCAATTCCGGCGTTCCATAAGGATCAATTTTGGCACCAACATTATTCCTTCTTCATATCAATGATCTGTTGGGAGTAACAACTTGCCCCATCCACAGCTTTGCAGATGATGGTACCCTCCATACTGCGTTCTCTTCCAGAATTCCCATTTCTTCCCAGGAAACTAAGAACTCACATATAATCTCCAGAAGTTCAAAAAAATTCCAATACCTTCCTCCTGTCCCTATCCTCCCTATAGGAACGCACGATGTTCTGTGAACATTATAGGGATTCCCTTTCGTGCGCTCCAAGCGATAAAAAAAATTTGTTGAAACTTCATTCAATTACCAACAGTGTATTATTGATATTGATGAAATAGGAATATCATGGAGACATGTTGCTGCTCCCACTTTATATCATTTTTTTTTGTAGATACGCTGACGTAGTTAACGTATGTGCCTTGGAAAGGGATTTCAAACAATTCGTACACGGCGATAAGACTCTTGTAGGGGAAAGAGGGGTATCTCTTAGTGGCGGACAAAGGGCGAGAATAAATCTGGCGAGAGCAGTGTATGTTGACGCAGATATTTACCTTTTCGACGATCCACTTTCTGCGGTCGACACACATGTTGGCAAACATCTTTTCGAGAAATGCATCAGAGATTATTTGAAAGGCAAGACGAGGATTCTGGTAACGCATCAAATTCAATTCTTGAAGCAGGCAGAAATCATCGTCGTAATGAACAATGTTAGTACCTCTATATACACTGTGCCCAAGATAAGGAGAGCCAGTTTATGGGCATCTGGAGATATACAACAAATTTACTTTCAAAAATCTCTGACATGAAATTTTGTATTCCAGTTATTTACAAAGAACTGAATTTTCAGATTTTCAATTCTATTTTTTACTAGTTTTGGTAATGAAGTTATGACAAAACTGAAGATAATTTTTGATGCGTTCTAATTTGGCATCCTCCATTTTCTGATACAACGTTTCGTCTTTGAGCTACCGTCATTGAATTCATTTTTTCAAATACGGCTCTGATATTTTGATATCAGATTTGCATAGCCCCTCGCGTTCTGACTCCAACTATTTCGGACTAGGGACCTGAATTTGTCATAATTCTGTGAAAAAGTTATTTGATTTCACTCCAAAATGATATGGAGGAATCCCTGGACAATTTAACTATGAGAATGGCGGAAGTTCAGGACTGGGTTTCAGCAGGATAGCTTAAGAGCTGCTAGAGATTATCTCTTAGTCAGATTCACAAAAACTACAAGAAGAGTGATCAGCACGTATTCTGAAACGCCCTGGCCAGCTCGTCCATCCTTCATGTGACCCCTATGTTTATGAGCGATTCTTCGGAACAAAAGAAGAACTCAGAATGCTGGTTCTTGAAGCATTCCAGAGTATAACGCTAGAAATGCTGAATAGTGATTTACATTCAACAGTACGATGACATGCATGCTTTGAAAGCGATGGCAATCTTTTTGAACGCCTGAAACGCCCTGGCCAGCTCGTCCATCCTTCATGTGACCCCTATGTTTCTGAGCGATCCTTCGGAACAAAAGAAGAACTCAGAAAGCTGGTTCTTGAAGCATTCCAGAGTATAACGCTAGAAATGCTGAATAGTGATTTGAATTCAACAGTACGATGACATGCATGCTTTGAAAGCGATGGCAATCTTTTTGAACGCCTGAAACGCCCTGGCCAGCTCGTCCATCCTTCATGTGACCCCTATGTTTCTGAGCGATCCTTCGGAACAAAAGAAGAACTCAGAATGCTGGTTCTTGAAGCATTCCAGAGTATAACGCTAGAAATGCTGAATAGTGATTTGAATTCAACAGTACGATGACATGCATGCTTTGAAAGCGATGGCAATCTTTTTGAACGCCTGAAACGCCCTGGCCAGCTCGTCCATCCTTCATGTGACCCCTATGTTTCTGAGCGATCCTTCGGAACGAAAGAAGAACTCAGAATACTGGTTCATGAAGCATTTCAGAGTATAACGCTAGAAATGCTGAATAGTGATTTAAATTCAACAGTACGATGACATGCATGCTTAGAAAGCAATGGCAATCTTTTTGAACAGCTTGAATTCATCATTTTTTGAATTGACTTGGCCGTTACTTGGAAATCCATAATAAATGTAAAAACTTCACAAACGATAGTTATGGTACCAGTATACCACCTGACGAAGCTACTGTGTTAGCGAAACATATCGTGTGTTTGAGAATTTTGTGAAAATCTTATCGTTTGTGAAGTTTTTACATTTGAATTCATCAGTTTCGTATCTGAAAGTTTTGACGTTCAAATACGTTCCTCCTTATCTTGGGCAATATGAGTGACGTGAAAGATTTTTTACATTCACGTTTATAACATTTGTTTCCATAGGGGAGGATAGAGAATATAGGCACTTTCGAGACTCTAGCTGATGACTTATTGAAGACAATTAAAAGACAAGATTCTGAGGACGACGCTAAGAAAGAGATGATAGTGAAAGAAAAGCCTATGATAAAGCACGAAAGAATGTTATCAATTGTTTCGGTTGCGGTAAAAACCTGCCACAATTGAACACTCGTTCAAATTCATCAGATTTCTATTTCAGAGTTCCATAGGTAAAGAGTTCACAGAGGTAGAACAAACTATTCAAGAAGAAGTGGAAAAAGGCCAGCTATCGTTCTCTATGTATTTAGAGTATTACAGGACCGGAGCTAGTATCTGCCTACTGACATTCATGATTGTACTATTCATCATTGCTCAAATGTTCTCGAATGGATGCGATTTATGGGTGGCACATTGGTAATGCATCACATGTTAACATACTTTGATTGTCCCACTTCTGGGAATTCCATCCCACACCTGCCACCAAGTTAAAACCTGATTTCAGGACAAACGTGGAGACTGCGCATGCTGCCAATGAAACAAGGCAAAAAAATACTTTGTCGAATGCAGAGACAAGTGAGAGAAATAATATAGAGGATTCGGACAATTTCATAGAATCGCAAAAAAGCTATATCTACATCTATACCATCTTCATTGTTGGATCGATCATTCTGACGACTGCTAGATCACTATTGTTTTACCGAGTTTGCACGAAGGCTTCCGAAGGACTACACAATAAAATGTTCAGTAACGTGCTCAAAGCTCCAATGAGATTTTTCAACACCAATCCATCAGGTAAAGTCGAAACTTGCGGGAGTTCTCGATTGGTACTTGATGCATGATTGTAATTTGTTTTAGGTCGAATTCTGAATAGATTCTCCAGAGATATAGGAGCAGTAGATGAAATATTACCGAAAGCAACCATGGATGCAATCACGGCTTTTCTTGTTATGTTGGGTATTTTGATGATGGTTTTCATCGTTACTCCTTGGATGATTTTGCCTGCAGTGGTACTTGGAATATTTTTTCACTTCTTCAGAAGCGTCTATTTATCTAGCGCTCAAGACATCAAAAGAATAGAGGGAGTCAGTAAGTATGACTTTTTAGAATACATATAATACGAACATAATGTAAAGGCGCGTACAGACACGTATGTACAGGGTGGCCAACTAAGAATCCAGAGTTCGATACCTCTGTTGTCTTGAGAGATACAAAAAAAAGTTTTGCATTCAAATCAAAGTGATAACCGAGCTTCACATTTCAAAATTTCTTTGAAATACACAGGGTGTTCCGTAAGGTCACAGCACATCAAAGCTATGTTTTTTTCATTGGAACACCCTATATTTTATTTCATTTTTGAATTCTCCCTGAAGATCTGATTGCCATGACGTATCATACTTAGGGTCTAGCAGTAAAAGTTACTGACATATAGGGTGTGCAAAATCGAGATTTTCCAAGTTCAGGATTTTTTTCTGTCGAAACTGTTCATTATTCGTCAAAACGGTTTACATGTCCCTATCTCAACTTTTCACTCACTATCAATTGGTGTTCAATTGACATTTGATTGAAACAAATTATAAATTTAGATTTTTTGACCACCTTGTATCAATTTCAATTGAACACCAATTGATAGTGAGTGAAAAGTTGAGATAGGGACATGTAAACCGTTTTGACGAATAATGAACATGAAAAAATTCCTGAACTTGGAAAATCTCGATTTTGCACACCCTATATGTCAGTAACTTTCACTGCTAGACCCTAAGTATGATGGGTCGTTGAAATCAGATCTCCAGGGAAAATTCAAAAATGAAATAAAATATAGGGTGGTCCAATGAAAAAACATAGCTTTGATGTGCTGTGACCGTACGGAACACCCTGTGTATTTCAAAGAAATTTTGAAATGTGAAGCTCGGTTATTACTTCAATTTTGATTCATGAATTTTTTTTGTATCTCTCAAGAAAACAGAGAAATTGAACTCTGGAGTCTCAGTTGGCTACCCTGTACAATAGGCAGCATTCTCCAAAATAATGATTCGGGATTGGATTAATGGATGTGTTCTATGAAGCTATTTCTATTGTATAACTTGCGAACCAAAAAGAATTGAGCACTAAATTTTTTAATTAATCGTTGATTTTGCCAACATTTAGAAATATGTTGTTATTGGACAGGAAATTCAATTTAGAATGAGATGGTTTCAAAAAATATACTGAATTTCGAAGAAATCTGAATCGATCATAGAGAAGGTTGAAGTATTTGTTCATCTCATATACAAGGTGTCTGTAAAAAGTTGGAATATTGCTCTGCTGTGGACTCCTGGGATAAAAACAAGTTGATTTAGGCCAACTTACCTATATCCAAAATCGTCTCGTTGAGTTGGTACAAGGCGTTGAAGTTTTTTTGGAAAAAAATAATTTTGCTCATAAAAAGAAGAGGCTGAGATCGATTTTCATAATTTTCAGTCACGTCACGTCACGTTTTGAGATGCTTTTGATCATCATCAGTGACCTGCAAGTATTTCAAACAACCATGGTGCCGTACAAATTTGGTTATAACTATGCATTTTTTCAAAAAATAATCTGGTTGGGACATTGCTTTACTGTAGACTGCTGAGATAAAAATAAGTTGATTTTAGCCAACTTACCTATATCCAAAATCGTTTCGCTGAGTTGGTACAAGGCGTTCTCACCTTAGGTCCTGAATAATTATATGTATATTATGTACAGAGAATGTATTCGCGATGACTAGCTGCCTTTGATATGCTGTTGGTCGGATTGAGTAAAAATTCCAAGATGGATGGAATAGTCATATTCATGCTGACTTGTTGGATGTCCACAATAAAATTATCATAATCACTTTTATTTTGCAGATAGAGCACCGGTGTTTTCTCATATATCAGCAACATTATATGGAATCTCCACTATTCGATCTTCGAAGGCAGAAGAAATGGTGATCCATGAATTTGATTCGCTTCAAGACCAACACACTGGCAGTTGGTTCATGTTCTTAGCTTGCAGCGGAGCTTTAGGATTCTATCTAGACTGTATTAGTTTGGCCTTCTTGATTTTAGTCACTTTCCAGTTTCTCATAATAGATACTAGTAAGTCCCGTCGGTTATCATTTTCGTACTCACATGGGATGATTATTCTGCATTCATTCAACTTTGAAATGGCCGTTGAATGGCCAATGAAAGTTCAATCAGTAACATTCAATGTTCATCCATCTTCGTACGTACAACGGGTGTTGATTCAACTCAAAGACCATTAATGTTTGAACTTCAAGTGAACATGGAATAGTGGATGACAAGAGAGCTTTCAACTTGAAACAATCAACGGACGTCCATCTTCGTATGTACACAATCGATGACACCTTGATGGATGCTTGGACTTGAAATCACTGTTGAAAATGAATGTCCCGTAGACGTACAAGTTCAAAATTGATTTTGATTATGAATTCGAAATCAACAAATTAGAGTGTTTCGATAATGTCGAATATTGTACATCCAATAGACATCCATAAAACGTATATTACTGAACATACAATACATAATCAGAATCTTGAGCATACTTTCCTCGTACATTCCTTGTTGTCAGCTTATTGATTATCATTTTTCAGATAGTGGTATGAGCGGAAATATAGGTTTAGTAGTCTCTAGCAGCATGATACTGATAGGAATGCTGCAGTTAGGGGTGAGACAAACCACAGAGGTCTCTTCGAATATGACAAGCGTCGAGAGGGTTATGCAGTACACAAAAGTGGAAAAAGAGGAAGAGCTGAATCCTGGTGCTTCAGAAAAACCTGAGAACTGGCCGAGTGCAGGAAAAATTTCTTTCAGGAACACATATCTGAGATACAACCCCGATGACCCGCCTGCTTTGAAGAACTTGAACATAGTCATACAACCAGGAGAAAAGGTTACTATTTCCTTTGAAACCTAAACTTTGATGCTTCAATGTCTAATTTGCTTTCAGATCGGAATAGTAGGTAGAACAGGTGCGGGAAAATCAACGCTTATATCCTCACTATTCAGACTAGCCCCCATCGATGGTACTATGGCTATAGATGACATAGATACTTCCACAGTGAGCTTAGAGCATCTTAGGTCAAATATATCGATAATACCTCAAGAGCCCATACTGTTTTCAGCTAGCATTCGGTATAACCTGGACCCCTTCAGTAAAGTCAGCGATGATGTCATCTGGCAAGCGTTAGCAAACGTAAGAACTCTGAGAAACCCGTGAGAGAAGAATTTCTCCTAGAATTTTGATTTTAGGTTGAACTGAAAGATACCATAGAAAACCTGGACCAAAAGGTATGCGAGGGTGGTTCGAATTTCAGTGCGGGACAGAGACAGCTAGTTTGCCTTGCCAGGGCGATCATTAGGAACAATAAGGTTCTGGTAATGGATGAAGCTACAGCGAACGTAGATCCGCAGTAAGTTATTCCATGCATATCCCCATCTGCGTTTGGTTGACTTTTGCATTTTCAGCACTGATGCTTTGATTCAAAATACTATCAGAGAGAATTTCAAGGATTGCACAGTACTGACTATAGCCCATAGGTTGAATACTATCATGGATAGTGATAAGGTGCTTGTGATGGATTCTGGTAAAGCAGTGGAGTTTGAATCGCCCCACAGGCTTTTGCAGCTTCCCGGTGGATATTTCACAAAGATGGTGGAAAAAACTGGACCAGTTATGGAGGCCCAATTAAGACAGATAGCAAAAATTGCATACAAGTTAGAAGATTGAAAAGTATTTGATGAGTCTGAAGATTATACATAATGTTATTGAAATAATATGACACTTCTTGTTATTGTGACGTCCAACAGCCAGTTCGTACTATTGTTGTTGAATCTACTGTTTGAAATTTATTCAAATTCATTCAAAGCTAAAAGGCATATTTGACGAATTCAATAGGAACGATTTCTTAAAGATTGTTCAGAATTGAAACTTATAAGTATTACGAGTGTTTGTTTACCTTCTATAAGAGTAATGAGATATAGGGTGTCCAAATGTTTTTTCCGCGATGTTTGAATAGTTTGTAAGGAAACGCGAACAGCACTAAAACCTTGTATGTAATCTTTACCTTGACACCCTGAAACTTACAATGTACTCACTTCTTTAGATAGATTGTAGACATATGATTATTAAATATTTTTCATTGATCGTCTTTTTTTTTTTCGTCACTTACTTACATAAGTTGAATCCCTAGTTATCTTGAGTAACTCATCAGCTGCAATATAGGTAAGGCATTTACTACGTCTGTATAGTATAAAGATACTTGTTTAATTCGAGGTTTTCCAATCAAATAACAAATGGATCGACTGAATCTTGATGGTCTTGAAGAAAAATGGAGTCATCATGAAATGTAGATATAGGTAGGTACTCAACTTCACCAAGTTGGCGTTCTTTCAACATGGAACAAATGCTAGATGGTTGATATCTTGCAGACATGTGCATGCTGGTTAGGAAAATTAACATAAGATCTGGTTTAGGTAGGTAGTAGGTCTTTCAGGCTATTGTGTCGATTTAATCTAACTCAGTCGATAAATAATAAAATTCAATTCAGAAAAGACCAAATATATGTTTTTGAGTAAAATTCTTTATTCACTAGTGTTCTGAGTTGCATCACATTTGGATATTCTTCTAGCGATAAAACTGCAGTTCCTGATTATCAGAATACTTTGACTATGCGCTGTTGTCAAATATCGTGAATTACTTCAAAAACACTGTACATTCTTTCTATCATTCCTATTCAAAATATTTCACGAAATAATAGGTGAACATTCAATGTTTTTTGAGTACCAGTGAACAGTGTATTTTTTGCCGTTTAGGTACATAGTATATACCCTCAATAACAAGAATATTACTACATATAGTTTTTTAATACTTAATATTCTAATCAAAAAGTAAAGACTAAGTACATAGGTAGGTAATACATAAAAGGCACTATGAGGCTACCTGCTATGAATTTGATCAGTTCGTCAGCAGAAATGGGGTTATCAAGTAATATACAGATTTTCAACTTAAAATTCCAAATTCTTATTTTCTTATCATGGAAACCGACTTTCAGAATTGTTCATCAAGAGAGTATAAAACTAATCAGCATAATACATAGATATACGAATGTGTATAATAGTATAATACAATGTTGTCAGTTTTAAATTACGACAATTGATTACGATTTAGTCATATCATATATAGATGACAGCTCATTTTTTTCCTAGAAGCACTGACATATTGCTTTCTATATTCGCGATATTTTTTGCTACAGTGTACCTATGTCTATGTGAACATTATGTGAAATAGATAATACTTCCAGGGATCTATGATTTTAGGAACCTCAAAATTTCTAAAAATTATCATGTCAGCTCTGGTTTTACATCCTTGAGTACATCAACATATTTGTGGGCTGGTGATGAATAAGTCAGAGTACATAGATATTGATACGGAATCAGGTATCTCAGGTGCTACATCAACTATTGAAAATGTACTCAGTATGTTTTCAACTCATTAGAGGCTGATTATCACCATTTATTCGAATCAAAAGGGGAAAAATTTTGGGCACATTTATAATTAAGGTAAGTGGCTACTTACAGCAATATGGTCAATTCATCGTTTCTCTATAAGTTCAACCATGAAACGGTAGATGTCTCCAGGCATCATCAAAAGCAAGATTGGTGGAATTGAAATAGTATGAGTATATACAGGCCTGGTCATTTTTTTTTTCCTAATTTCAACTGTAAAGTCAGCGACTGTACATTTTATTTGTCAAATGGCACCATGTTTTTCCACCTCTTTTCTGTTTGATCGTTTTCTCTGAATACAATAATGTATGCCAAGTTAAATTTTGGACAAAATTAGTTAACATAAATGATGAAGGCTCTATTGACAAGTAATAGATATTTTCATTACATTAGATGTCAATGGAATAAACGTCAATGTTTTATTTGTCAGTTATTTCGACACCGTATATAATTGAATATCTAAATTTTTTCCACAGCACACTTTAAAATCACATGTGGTGTTGAAATATTTCCCGAATGAAATACTGACTCTCATTTCAGTGTTATTTATTGTCATATTCAATGATGCATCCTCGGAAGCATCCCACAATTTCAAAGAAATATCTATTTTTTGTCAACTGATCATTTATTTTTTATTTCAACTGATTTTGTTCAAACATCGACTTGTTTTACATCACTCAATGTATTCTCAAAAAAATCTAGATAAAAAAAATTAAAACAACATATAGGTAGGTATGTTTCATAGGGTCATTTGAAAAAAAAAACACTCGCTGGCGTTACTGTTGAAATAAAAAAATATATTTTCGAAGCCTACTCATATTGGATAAAAAAGGTAAAATATTTCTCTAAAAATTATTATTATTCGATACCTGATGTGAGTCGCGAGTGAATGATTATAAACAGGATACCTACATTTTGATATTTTATTGAGCCAAAGCTTGTTCATTGAAAAAAATGCCAATCTCAACTTTTGTAATGCGTGGCACACATACAACACACAAGTTTCCTTACATTATTCATTGTGAATAATGTATTTGTTAATGAGAATACGTAAGGTTGTTGGACTCACCACAGGCTAAATATTTTGTTATCTTTTTTTTTCTGGATACTTTTTGCGTCGAAATATGGCAACGCTGTTCACGATACTATTTTGTAAACACGCTATCAGTCATTTCGCGACTAGCTTGAGCCAGTATTCTCAGGAAATAAATGAGTAAGAGGTGCGTAACACGTCCACCGTTCGATACTATGAAGTAGGTGACTTGGAAATAATTCGCAAGCATGGATTCCAACAAAAAACACTTGAATCCATCTCCAGAAATCAAGGCGAACATTTTATCCAGATTATTTTTTTGGTGAGTGACGAGGCATTAAATCGATTTTCGATTTTGATTTTTTACAGAACATGAGACATAAGCTACTTTTAATAACTTTCAGAAATTGACACAATTGTGCCTATTTTTATTTATCATTCTAATACATAGGGTGTCTGAGGAAACAAATTATTAGAAGCGTCGATTGAGGCATTAAAGCTATAATATATGTATATGTATTCAAAGTGAGTCTAAAAAGGGTCTAAATGAGAATTCGTCGTTCGTCTCTCTTGGGTTTTCTAGGTTTTTTAACAAAAAGTGGAATTTCCTCGTCTATAAATGGTTTGCAAAACCTAAAAACATCAGAAAATCGGATTTTTGATTGATTCGTTCTAAACTGCCTTCATAACTTGCAATCGTCTCCTTTTTTCAATAACTCAACATAAATGTGACAGAAACTATGAAACCAACTTGAGATATGGAATTGAATGAAAGTATGGACTGTGGTGTGGACTTGGGAGAGTGTTGGAGACGGGACGTCTGAATTCAAAGACTGCTGGATGATAACTGGTTTATTAATCATCTTTATCACAGATCACGGAAGTCAGAGCACCAGGCACAGAACAATACATATCGGTGCTAGTGCATGGTTAGTGTAACCTAGTGTAGGTGTACATAATATGTCACATCTCCCCCTTTCATGTTTACATCATTGTTTATATAATACAATTTTTACATAATATTTTGATGTTGTACATTTTACTTATTGAAATTATTACATAGTTTATTGATAATATGACGATGGACATTTTACATTTAAATCACATACATAGTTATCTTATCCAGCATCCTAATCCTATATCCCTAGCTCTTTCCCCTCTTATGGATTGTGTCTAGCTTCATTTAATGTCTACTGTTTACCTCTACTTGAAAGTGTAAAAATTTTGAAATTTTTTCGGATTTCTAACAATTCTGCCTGACTTTGTAGTTCTAGTTACTGTATTATTGAAACATTCTGATATGTTTTCTTCCTCTGTACTGCTATCAGTGCTAAGAGTGGAATTATTTTGTGAATTTGAATCTGTGTGATTTTCTGATGCATAATCTGTATTATGCTCTGAATTATCATACTTTATACTTTGAAAACTGCTGTCAGCATTATCAGAATCTTCCACATTCATATTTTGATTATCATTTAGATTCTGATGATCATTCTCACTTTCTACATTCAAGTATACATAATTTTTAGAACTATTACAATCATACTCTCTTACTTCTAAATTCTTGCAAGATGGTTTAATAATATCTCGTTTGTATGGTGTTATAAATCTTCTATTTCTTATTATTATTGAACCATTTTCCAGTTTTATTTCATAAGATCTTATCCCTACTTTACTTAATACTATCCCTTTTTTCCAAGGACTTTTCAATGTCTCTTGAATTAGTACATTTGAGTCAATTTCTATGTCAGGCAAAGTTTTTACACCTCTTTTGTCAAAATAACCTTTTTGTTTAGATTTTGATTTTTCAATCAGTTCGTCGTGTTTCACTTTATTGAAAAGTGTTGGTTCATAATTAGATTGACTTTTTGGTAACAAATCTCTCAAGTTTCTATTACTTAAAATATTAGCTGGCGAATTATGTCCATAAGTCAAAGGTGTGTTACGTAATGCTAGTAATGCTAAATAAGGATCGGAGTTGCTAGCTTTGCATTTTTTTAAAGTTGCTTTTATTGTTTGAATAGTTCTTTCTACTTCCCCGTTGGACTGAGGATATCTTGGAGATGACGTTTTGTGTTCAAATTCCCATTTCTTAGTAAATTTTTTGAATAGTAAACTACTATATTCTGGTCCATTATCTGTTATTAGAATTCTAGGAATTCCTTGTCTAGCAAATATTGATTTAAGCTTTAAAATTACATTTTCGCTTGTCAGATCCTTATTCAGGTTTGAAATTTCAAAAAACTTCGAATAATAATCTACTACTATTAGAAATGATTGGCCATCGAAATGAAATATATCAGAAGCAACCTTGAACCAAGGCAGCTTTACAACGTCATGAGGAATCATAGGTTCCGCACAATTGGTTTTTCTAAACTGTTGACAGTTTTCACAAGTCAGTATCATGTCCTGAATTTGTTTGTTCATGAAAGGCCAGTAAAATGAACTGTTGGCAGTGCTTATACATTTATTAATGCCTGAATGGCCTATATGGAGTTTTTGTAATATTTCTTTTCTTATAGCTTGTGGTACTATGAGCTTAGTGCCCCTATACAAGAGATCATCTGCAATTGTAATTTCAGATCTGAATCTATAATAGAATTTGATGTTATCTGGCACGTCTTGTATTTTGTTTGGCCATCCTTTAATAACTTGATTTTTTAGCGTTATCAAATCTGGATCTAGTTTTGTGAAGTTTATTATTTGATTTCTTTTTTCTTGTGTTACATTCAAGTTATTTGCAATTAAGCATATTTGAGCATCTAGTTCCAGATCGATATTTTCTTCAAAGCATTTCTTTTCATATATTCTGGATAATGTGTCAGCCACAATCAAATGTTTTCCTGGTTTATATACTAACTCAAATTCATATTTTCTAAGTTGAATTAACATTCTTTGCAAGCGAGCAGGACAATCATTGATTGGCTTTTTGATTATTGATATTAATGGTTTGTGATCGCTTTCAACTATGAACTTTTTTGCAAATACATACTGATGGTATTTCACGCATCCAAACCATATGGCTAATAGTTCTTTTTCACACTGTGCATATCTTTTTTGCGCTTCTGTTAGAGCCCTAGATGCATGAGCACAAGGTATGCCATTTTGAAAAAGTGATGCACCCATCCCGTTCTGAGATGCGTCTACAGAGATCGTGATTTCTTCATTTGGATCAAAAAATCTTAAGCATGGTGTTTGACATATCAACTTTTTCAAATTATTGAAAGTTTCTATTTGATCTTTGTCCCAAATGAATTCAACTCCTTTTTTCAATAATATTCTTAATGTTGATGTCTTTTCTGAAAGATTTTTTACAAATTTACCTACATAATTTACTAGTCCAAGGAATTTTTGCAAATCATTCAAGTTTTTTGGAGGGGGCATATTTTTTATGGCCTCTATTTTTGAATCATCAACTGTTAAACCTTTTTCAGATATTTTGTGACCCATATATCTGACTTCTTTTAAACCAAATTTGCATTTATTTTTGTTGAATCTAATGTTGAATTGTTCTGCTCTTTTAAAAATTAGTTCTAACAATTTCTCATGTTCTTTTACAGTTTTTGAATACACTATTATATCATCTATGTAAACACTGCAACCTTCTATGTCACCAAAGATTTCAGTCATACGCTCTTGGAATACTTCAGATGAACTGATCAGACCATAAGGTAACCTTAAAAATCGGTATCTTCCAAATGGGGTTGCAAAAGTGCAAAGTTTAGAGCTTTGAAAATCCAACTTGATCTGCAAAAATCCTTGTGTTGCATCTAATGTGCTGAATATTTTTGAACCTGTTAATTTGCTTGTCAAGTCTTCTATAGTTGGAATTTGAAAGTAGTGTCTTTTAATAGCCTGGTTCAGAAATTTGGGATCTAAACAAATTCTAATTGATTTTTTATCAGGTTTCATGACCAAAACAACTGGATTTACCCAATCCGCACTGTTATCATCTTTAACAATTATTTTTTCTTTCTGAAGTTCATTCAAACTTTCTTTGAATTTATCTTTAACTGCAAATGGTACTTTTCTAGCATAGTTTATTATAGGTTTTGCATTTTCTTTTAATTCAATATGGTATGGTTTTTCCAGACACCCTATTCCTTTGAATAGATGTTCATATTTATTTATTAAATACTGGATATTTTCAACAGAGAAGTTTTCTACTTCTTGAACATTATCTATTCTTCGAATCATACCTAGTTTAACACAAGCTTGAAGGCCTAAAATGCAACAACTATTCATATCAACAATGTGAAATAAGAATTTTCCAGTATAATTATTATATCTGCATTCTAAATTGCATTCTCCAATTATTGGCAAAAGATCTCCTGTATATGACCTCAGCTTCATGGTACTTTGATTTAAATTGTTGAAATCAAGTTTTATTTTTTGAAATACACTTACAGGCATGACATTGGCTATGGCTCCACTATCCAGCTTCATTTCTACCTTCTGACCATTTATTTCTACTGCAGCAACCCATGACTCCATCTCAACGTTGCAAACTGTCCCCGTTTCAATGCTACCTATAAAGAGAAAATCATTAGTTTCATTTAAACTATTTTCTATGGAGTTTACAAAAGGTTGCATGTCATCATTACTATCTTCATATTCATTCTCTAGAGTATTAATATTTTTAAAAGTTACTTTATTTTTATTATAATTTGAATTGTTACTGCCATTTTTGAATTTACACATTCCAGAAAAGTGATTCATGTTTCCACATTTGGAACATTGTCGTCCATGGGCTGGGCATTTTCCATAACCATGACAGTTTCCACACTTCCGGCAGCTTCTTTCATTGGTCTTGCTGTAACTTGTAGTATATTTGCTTGGATAGTTGCTTCTGGATGCCTCATATTTTCTTGGAATTCCCCTTTTATCCTTATACTTGGGTCTGAAGTTCCTCGTTATCTCCTCTACTTGTATATTCTCTCTATTATTGGTGGTAATTTCTCGATTTCGTTCCCTTGTTTTCTCCATATTGATGCATAGCCTAATTGCTTCCTCTAGAGGCTGATTATCTTCTTGAAGTAGCTTCTCCCTAAGTGTTTCTGACTTAAGTCCACATATAAGAATGTCCCTTGTTAAGGAGTCTCGTAAGAGTCCCAGTTCACAAGAATTAGCTAAATTTTTCAATTCTGTTACATATTGTTCAATGGATTCTCCTTCTTGCTGTTTACATGTTAGAAATTTATGTCTTTGGTAAGTTAAATTATTTCTGGGACTGAAGTGACTCTCGAACTTCGCAAGTAATGGATTTATTTTATCCTTTTCATCTGGCAGCATAGTGAAAGTATTGAATATACGCATACCTTC